TCAGCGCCGCGCCCAGGGCGCACGGAGACTCGGCGGCCTCCTCGGAGACCCCCGGCTTCAGGCAGACCCTAAAGAAGAGGCGGCACGGGCCCTGCGCACTGCAGGGGGACCGCGGGGCCCCCGGGCCTGGTCCCGGCCTGAAAGAGTGGATCTGCAGCTCGAAGACGCCTGCCGGCCGTGCCTGGGGCCGAAAAGGGGCGCAGGGTGAGGAGGTGTCGGGGCCCAGGCGTCCCGTCCGCCCCGCGGCCCCTCCCCAAGACCCCGGGGTCGCACCCCTTCCCATTCCTCCCTTTCCACTCCTGCTCTGACCTGGGGAAGGAAAATAAGCGCCAGGATCACCGTCCGGGGCAGGAGCTGGGGCATCTGCGGGCTGACCATGGCCTTTCGGGGGGTGCTGGGAGCCGCAGCGGCTAGCTCCCGAGCCTTATATCTGAGGGGACGGCTCCGCCCCTTCAGGCAGCCGCCGGGCTCCGGGAGACCCCAGGGGAGGAGGTCGCAGGGGAAGGGGAGCTTGCTGGAGCAACCGTGAATGGTGGTATGGGCACTGGCAATGTAGTGAGCGTGCGATCTTGTGTGTGGTTTGGGCACGACTTTGTGTGTGAGGATGGGGTGGGGCTAGGGGGTTAAGCCAGTGTGTGAGGTTATATATGATTTTAAGATTCTGTGCGTGCGTGTGGTGTGAGCAAGAGCTGGCTGGAGGCTGTACGTGACTTTGTGATTGTGTGCCTAGCTGAGACTACGTGGCTCCACGTGTGCCTAAAGTTGTATATGGTTAAGACTATTGCGAGGTTGTAAGAGTCTGTGGTTGTGTGTGTGCGTGTATGCGTGTGCACCTGCATGGGAGAACATAGGCGTACGTGACTTCATGATTGTGTGACTTTGGGGGATTGTGCGGCTGTTGTGGATGCTTCTCTGTGTGTGTATAGGAGTAAATGTGAGATCCTGAACCACTGTGTGGAGTCACATGAACCTCTTTGTGGTCTGTGCAGGTCCCTCTAGGCGGCTGTGTGTGTGTGTGGTAGGGTCTGTGTCAGCTGTGAATAACCGAGCGCCCGAGCGTCCGAGTGTGAAAGAGATTAGGTGTTGGGAAGTCCATGGGTGTAGCCGTGTGTGGGTACGATAAAGATCCGGGGTTCTTTGTGGACCTGTGTACATGCGCGGTGTGTGTGCTCCCCTCCGGAAGACAAAGCCACCCTTCCAAACCCCGCATCACGGATGCACCAGACGCCGGGGTGAGGGGCCCCCCGCCTGCGAGGGGGCTCCAGCTGTATGTAAATGCCGCCATCTGCCGGACGGCCGCGCCCCTCCCCCTTTGGGCCGCAGCTGGGCCGCCCGTTTGGCCTCCGGAAGGTGTGAGGAGCAAATGGGCAGGAAATTCCGTCTTCACAGATCAAGGGGAACCCGCTCCCTCACAATGGGGCGAGGGGGCACCCCCAGAAGCCCCTAAGTATTCCCGGACCACGGCAAGAAAAACCCGGTGGTGGGAGCAGATGCTCCAGCCTCTTGGTCATAAACGTTCTGTGCCAGGTGCTGAGTAAAGTCCTTAGGTGACGCCAACTCCTTCCCCGCCCCCCCCGCCCCGCAAGAAAACATTTAAATACTTACAGGCTAATACTTACAGGGGGAAATACAGGTTCGATTTACAAAATTATTTTTGTTTTAGAGAAGATAGAATGATCAGTAAAGTATAGCCCAGCAGAACGGGGCATACACAAGTGCTCATCAATTCTTAATGAAGGAGAGAGTTCAGTTAAAGTTTCCTCTTAGGGGTGCCCGGCTGGCTTGGCTGGTGGAGCGTGCGACTCTTGATCTTGGGGTTGTGAGTTCAAGCCCCACATTGGGTGTAGAGTACTTAAAAATACAATTTTTTTTTTTTTTTTAAGATTCATTAATTATGGAGAGCACGCAAGTGCGGGGAGGGGCAGAGGAAGAGAGAGGGAGAGGGAGAGCAGACTCCCCAGTGAGCTCAGAGCTGGATGCTGAGCTCCATCCCACAACCCTGGGATCATGACCTGAGCCTTTTGAAATCAAGAGTCTGTCCCTCAACCGACTGAGCCACCCAGGCCCCCCCCCAAAAAAAATTAAAAAAAAAAGTTTCCTCTTAATCTTGAGGACTGGAGTCATGAAAGTCTTTTGAGCAGGGGAGGGTCATGGTCACTGTGCAGACACCCCAGGCTCCTTCACACAGGTCTTTCCTCTGCTGGAGTCCTCTCTACTCCCTCCTCTATTGAATTCCTTTCTTGGCAGATTCCCCCTCCTGCAGGCACTTCCCTAACACTCACCAAGGTGGCCACGCACCTTCTCTGAGTCCCATAGCCCCGATTCCTCTCTCCCAGCCGTGACCACTCTGGTCTATGGGTCTAAGTACAAATCTGACCATGTCCCTCTCCTGCAGACTCCTGCATGGCTCCCCAGTGCCTTCAAAGTACACTCTGAGGGATGCCTCAGTGGCTCAGTTGCTTAAGCGTCTGACTCTTGATTTCAACTCAGGTCTTGATCTCAGGTTGAGTTCAAGCCCTGAATTGGGCTCCACGCTGGGCATGGAGCCTACTTAAAAAAACAAAAAGAAAAAAAGAAAGAAAAATACCCTCCAAGACTCTAAGGTTGACATTTGAGGCCCCCCCCCCACGTCCCCCTACTCAAATTGGCTCTGTTGCCCAAAGCAGAGAGCCAAACCTCATGGACCAACTACTGGGAGTCAAGTTAGGCCCTGTACTGGGGTAGGTGGAGGAGTGAGCTTCCCATCACGGGAGATATTCAAATGGAATTTGGACAGTCTTTAGAACCGGCTGTGGGAGAAGGCAAAGTCCTGCCCTGGATGATAACTTGGGAAGGTAACAGATTCCAGGTCTATCTCAAACATTTTAAAGATTATAAAAATAGCCAGGCTTTATTGAAAGTTTGTGCCAGACATGATAATGTTTCAGGTGAATTCTGTCACATCTGTGTGTGAGGTATACTTTTAAGAGATTTTCATGGAGTCTCTCTGGCTATTCAGGACTCTTCCTTACCAGCTGATCTTAGTGCCTACAGGCCATGCTGAGGTGACATCTGAGCAAAGATCTAAGGTGGGGGGAAGAAGAGGAAGTGATATGCATCCTGGTAAAATATTCCTGACAGAAGGAACAACAAGTACAAAGGCCCTGAGGTGACCGTGCCTGACACAGAGATCCCCATGGCTTTCCTCATTTCCTTGTGATCTGTCAGATACACCCTCCCAAGAGACCTTCCTTGACTGCTTCATCCAATCTAAATCAGCACCTCAAGTCCCCAAACCACTCTACTTACCATACCTTATTTTTCTTTATGCATTTATTACCTCGAGAAATATCTGACCATTGTTTCCTCCACGAGGGGAGAGCTTTTTATCTAATTTGCTCACTGACGCACCCTCGTGACTAGAACAAGGCTGGGCAATCAGCACTTAGGAAATATTGGCGAGAGTCAGTCAATGAATGAGGGAGGTACTATAATGAATCTCTTAGGAATGAATAAACCAAGACCCTTGAGACCTAGCCCGGGTTATAGATAGTACACCTTGGGGCTGGGCAGGTATGCAAATTTTAACACTTCTCTGTGAGACTTTAAAAAAACATAGTGGGGTGCCTGGGTGGCTCAGTCGTTAAGCATCTGCCTTCGGCTCAGGTCAAGCCTGCTTCTCCCTTTCCCACTCCCCCTGCTTGTGTTCCCTCTCTGTCAAATAAATAAAAATTAAAAAAACAAAAACAAAACTTAGAGTCCAGAGATTCGATCTGGCCCACGCAGTTACATTTTAATTATTGTAACAAACACCAGGGGATGTCTTTTAAAAATATTTAACTGGTACTAGCACTAAGTGCTGGTTGGAGGAGAGGCTGGGCCAGCTGGGGGTGGGGGCCACGTCAAAGCAGTCCAGGATATTTCAGTCTGTGAAGAGCCAGTACGGGGACCGGGGGAGAAGGCCCACGGGAATCTACACACCACTGAGTGTGGGCCGTCTTGTTACTCACAACTGCTGGAAGACAGGTCCTACCGTCACCCCCACCTGTGAGCTGAGGTGGCAGAGGCACACAGATGCATGGCCCAGGGTCCACAGCTCCCATCTGAGCGCCTCACTCAGCCTTCCAGCCTAGCCTACCAGCTAGGTACTGTTACCTTTACAGATGGGGAAACTGAGGCACGAGAGGCAAAGTAACCTGCCCGAGACCACACAAAGCGGGAAGTGGCAAAGCTGGGATTTGAACGTGGCCACTCGGGAACCCAGACTGGGGAAGGGCATGCGACTGTGCCATCCCCTGCAGGGGCCACGAGCCACAGGTGGCTGCTTAAATCAAGGTTACTTAAAATGATACGAGCAGAAGCTCCAGTCCTCAGTTACCCTCATGACGCTGCAGGTACTCCATGGCTCCATCCGACCATGACAGTGCAGACACGGGACACGGGATAAACATCACAGAAAGTTCCAGCGCACAGTGCCGCCACACCATCTGTCTGTCCCAGTTAGGAGCCAACATTTCACAAGAGACTTAGTATGAAAATCCCAACTTCGGGCTTCTATTGGAAAAGCAGATCAAGCAACGCCAGGCCACCTTCCCACAGGGCCACAGCCGACAGAGGGGGCGGCAGCCACCCTCTCGGGCCAGGAGGAGCTCTGCTCTGCCAGAGACCCCCTCCCCCCGCACCCTCCTCCTTCCCCGAGCCCACACTTGGGGTGTGCACACAGCGGCCTCGCAGGAACCTGCCTCTCCAACCCCCCTGCTGCCCTCTCTTCCCTTTCCCACAGATGAGGAATCTGGGGCCACGGAGTGAGACGCACTTTTTGAGGTCACATGGCACATGGGAAGACGTGGCCAGAGGGACCCAGGTTTGCGGATTCCCAGGCCAGTGTTCAAAACCAATCCTGATCCACCAAAGGACCTACTCCGTGCTGGGCAGCCCATCAGCCACCGTGGGACGATGACCAAAGAGTCCCGGACCTCACCCCGATGGCCCCAGCTGGAGACTCTCCGGACACAGGAGTGTGGCATCTGGGATGGACTTTATTGGATGTGGCTGCCCAAGCCATGGTCTGGGAGCACTGGGGCCTAGGGCCCAGGACCCAGGCAGTGAGTCTGAGGAGGCTCAGAGGTCAGGGCTGTTTGGAGCGAGGCCATAAGCGGTTGGTGAGAGAGCCGAAGAAGAGGTTCTGCTTGCTGGATTTGGAGAGCTCAGCCAGGCGCTGCTGTTCTTCCTGGGGTGAGGGACAGAGGAGGGTCAGACCGGGGTGGGTATTCTCCTCCTAGGCTCCCTCATCCAAGGGGCCACTTTCCTTAAACCTGGGCCCAGCCCAGACCCCTTCCCCAAGCCCCCAGAACACCAGCCCAGACACAGGAGCCCAGACTCAAATCCCGGTACTGTCCTAATCCCGTTCCCCAGATCCCAGGAGGCCCCTCCCCTGAACCCTGGGAACCTACCCTGTTTACCCTAACCTGGATGCTGGCGAGACCCCAGGCCCTTCATCAGACTGCACTGTTCTGCTCCCTGGGCCCCGGTGCCCAGCCCTCAGCCGCATGACCCTTGTCTGGATGCTGGGGGATCCCAGGCCCAAATCTCCAGGACTCCTCCTTTGGGCACTCAGGAGCTCCAGCCCTGCTCCCAGGAACCCACCTGGTCAACCTCAGTCTAGATCCGAGGATCTCTTTCCCAGACTCAATCCATATTCTTAGCCCCCACTTCCAAATTACCAGGATCACACTGAGACCACCAGAACTCCTTGCCCAGTCCCTTGGGCCAAGTGTCCAGGGATCCCTCTCCCCAGACCTGACCCAAACCTCCCGTCCACACAAAACCGGGGCCTTCAGATCCGCTGGAAACCATCATGGACTACCCCTCTCCAAGATCTATGCTTGGCGTTTCATGCCTCCTGTTCTCAGAGCAGGCTGTGGAATCAACCACCCCCTCCCCCATTGCAAGAGCCCTACAGGACAGGTTGTGTGGAAGACAAGGGCCTCGCTCAAGGTCTCACAGCCAGAGCAAAGACAGGCTAGACAGGCTGCTCGAGGGCCCCTCTCTTGGGAGCCTTGGGAACTGATGCGATGCCACCCATCCCCCTGCAGATCCGGGGACCCACCTGCTCTAGCCGGCTCTGCCGCTGTTTGAAAGCCTCCAGGGGGTCATCCTCCAGGGCGTAATGCTCCAGCACAGTCCTGACATCCTCCACGCGGTTCAGTGCAATGGCTATGGGCACAGCAGGCAGGGGTCGGCCAGGCAGAAAGGCCCCAGGGAAGCAGGGCCCGCAAGGGTAACGTCAGACACTGGGGCTGGTCAGAGCTACCTAGAACATTTCTTAACGCTCTAAAAGGGCTCCCCTGGACATCCCCCAAGTATTCCCTAAATATTCCAGAGCACCCCAAACCCCCAAACATTCTCGGAAACTTCTAAAGACGGTAAGATGCTCGTGAACCTCCCACACTGAAGTACCCAATTTTACATGGGTAAAATCTATCATTCCTCTTGAGAGTCAAGGGCTCCAAGGTCAGAGGCCAGGAGGTCAGGGGTCAGCCTCACTCTTAAGGAAGGCAGACAGGTCCAACAAGACCCGGTCATCGGAGTTGCCGTCCCAGGGCCGCAGGGCGACGCCATTGTAGGGCTGCAGGCGGAAAGCTTCCTTCTTGCAGTCCACGACGACTACACGGGCAGGGTCCCGATTCAGACACGAAATGTCCTGGGAGGCAAACAAGGCCCAGAGTCTCATATAAGCTACCACAATCACACAGTCCCAGAGACATTCGGCTCCAGACACAGAGACAGCAGATGGCTTCCAAACTTCATATCCCTCCGTTATCCCCAACTGTCTCCTTTGGAGACACTACCCCCCACCATCCCCCCGGCCCACTCCCATCCCCAGATACCGGGGAAGGAAGAAGAACCTAGAAGCCCAGCCTGTGGCAGGGGCAGGATCAGACCTAGGGCAGAAGCAGGGTTGAGGCTGGGGTCAGAGCTGGGGCCTCATTCCCTCAGGAAGTGCCAGCGCCCCCAAGTCCCAGAGGACCACCCATGGGCCCCCACATGGCACCTTAACATGGTGGCCATCCATGTATCTTGTGGCATCCCGGAAGAGGCGGTAGGAGATGAAGCCATGGGGGTCCACGCTGTCGATGAGCGGGAATGCAGTCTGGGGGGTGGGATGGGAGGGGAACAGGGTCAGGCTGAGCCCTGACCCTCCCACTCTCCGGCCACACTGACCATTCCTCCGCTGTCCCGGGGCCTTACCATGCCAGTCTCGGATGTAAAGATGACGATTTCATACAAAGGGGCAAGCTGCTGGAATAAGGTTTCGATGCCTGGACGCTTCTTAAACCTCCAGCCAGTGGCCAGCTAGGGAGGCAGGGAGAACAGTGAAACACCAAGACCCAGAAACCCCCAAAAGAACAAAGCCCCAGCCTGGGGGGGGTCCCCAGAACGAGAGTGCTCTCCCCCATCTTTCTAGCTCTGGGGTGGGGCTCAGAGGTACATGGCCGTGACCGAGGGCCTTGGAGTCTACAGGGTCTGGGTCCCAGACTAAGAGCTGACTCCTCGGTAGCACGGAACGCACGCCCAGGCACGCTCACAAGCAGCTATGGGGTAGGCAGTCTCACAGGTGAGAAAAGCAATGAGAGCGACGCCTCCTCCCCAACATCACACAGTGGAGTGGGCTCCAGCATCTCTGCTCTTAGCCCTATCTTCGCGATCCCGCCACCATGTCTCTCTAGTGTCCTCAACCCGCTGCCTTCCCCAGGACACACCGACCACTCAGGGTGCAAGAGGACGCCTGTGAGCTCCAAGACCAGTGTGTAGGGCGGCTGGTAGTACGGCTCCCGCAGAGGGTCTGGGAGGAGGCAGGGACTGGTGGGCTCGATGATCATCTGTGGGAGAGGGACGGAGTGGGGAGCACTCAGATGAGGAGGCGGGGGCCCGGGCTGGAGGGATGGGGACTGGGCTCAGGGCTCCTGCTCACCTGTCTATAGTCTTTGAAATATTTGTATGTCCGGCGCAACTGCTGTACCAGAATCGGATCTAGGAGGATAGCAGGGCACAAAGGGGTTCCAAGATGAGCCACTGCACAACCTCCAGGACGAACCAGGGGTTTAGTTACCTACCCAACACAAACAAGCCTACATACCCACCTGGTCTGAATGAGCTCACTCCTAAGTCCAAAGGTAGATGGCAAGGACATAACCGCCAGGCAGGAGTAAATACACTTATTCATCTGCCCAGTTTTAATGTGAATACTTACACCCCACCCCCCATATAAAACAGAACGTTGATACGTCTGCCCACTCAGAACCCACATACACAGAACTCTGCTGACATTATGCCAGTGTGTTCAGTCCATTTTGAACCACCAGGCCTCCAGATCTGTCTGCTTTAAGCTAACACGCCAAGTCTATTTAAACCGCACTAACTATATACATACGTTTATATACTTTATAAACTAGTGGTTCTCAACTAGGAGCAATCTGGTCCACCATCTTCCGGGGAACTTAGGCAATGTCTGACGACACGTGTGATTGTCAAGATACTGGCGTCTAGGGGACCGAGGCCCAAGATGCTGCTCAACACCCTCCAAGGCACAGGGCGCACCCCCCACAACAATGCACTACCTGCCCCAAAGTACCAAGGGGGCCAAGTCTGAAAAATCCTGGTTTAAATGGATATACTGAAGCCAGCTGAAAGCAGGAAGTTTACCTGACTGCCTACTTCATTACAGTACTTTTAGTCTAGTTAAGCCACTATCTATGTATGGGCCTGCCTTTTCACAGCCAAAATACTGAAACGAGTTATGCTCGCAAACACACACTTTTTAAACCTGCGTGTTTACCTGCCCCATTTACATCAGTGTGTTGATTTATCTGAACCAGAAAGATTACCCAGTTAAAAGATCATACTTACCCACCTGCCCAACTTAAGTAACCTATGTATTAACATGTGGGTTTGCAGACTTCCCCAGCACGAACAGGCGGCTTTCTGGACCTACCAATTTTATTTTTCTCCTGGGAAGGGCCAGGTGTGACAGGACTGATAACTACTCTCTACTATCCAATTTGTCAGAAACTCTCCACCAAAAGCTGGTTAACTAAAAGGAGGAGGGAGGAAAGAGACATTGTTTTGGAAATGAAGAGCCTGATGGGGTGGGGGGCTGGGGGGAAACAAGAGGCTGTTATAAAGAGGAGGGGATTAAGGGCTGCAGCCGCTCAGATCTAAGGCACAGGAAGCCATGTGTCCGGTGATAGACAGCCCCCTCTCTCCAAGCAGGCCTACTGTGGACTCCCCTCCCCCATCTGTCCCTGACCATCTGCTCCTGGGCCAGTGAAGAGGACTGAAGAGGACTGAGGCTTTGTAATGCCCTTCCCCACAAAGCCACCCAGCTGCTGACTCCCCTACCCACCAATGGAAGGAGGAGGGGTTGGGGGGGCACCAGATGGGAAAGGCAACATCCCTATAAACAGCAGAACAGGGAGTTTCGGGGACCTCAGAATCTGTGCTTGTTTTCACTCACCATTGTCGAATTCATCAGGAATCTGGAAGGTGGAGACAAAAATATATGGTTTGGGATGGCAGAGGCAGAACCCCATCAAACCCAAAAAAGGAATCTCCAGGGCCCAGGGAGGAGTAGGCAAAGGGCTCACCCCGAGACCAGAAATGAGCCTGAGCAGACCAAAGGGGAAAGGACCCACAGGCTGGGACCCCTGGCATAGCCTCTGGGTCTCTCTCCCCCTCACCTTGGCACCCGTTTCATCCACAGAGTTGTTTCCTGTAAGGGAGACAGGGAGGAATGAGAGAAATTGGGGCCTGGTCTCCTGGGTCTTGAGGAAGGAAGAGGGCAGGGGGCCTGGATTCCTGGGTCTGAGAGAAGAAGGAAAAGGCATAGTCTCCTAAGATCAAGAGAGGAGGGGGCTGGTAGTCAGGATCCTGGGTTTCCGAGAGAAGAGGGACTGGGACTGGGGCTGGGTCTCAGTCTCTGAAGGAGGAGGGGATGATGGGGAGGGCTGGAGTTTGGGGTGCTGCAGGAAGAGGCAGCTTAGGAGGCTGGTCCAGGCCTCTCCTTCCCCAACTTTCCCTCTTCTAAATGACTCTCTGGATCCTAGTGCAGAACCAACTAAGAGTGGAACCTTGAGCAAAGTAGGTCCTCCATTTCCAAGGCAGATGTTCTAGATGGCTGCCTTAATGAGGGAGGAGCCAGGCAATGAAGATGGGCCAAACCCTTAGAGGGAAAAGGGGGTAGGCTATGCAGAAGAGAGGGCCAAGGGAACAAAACTAGGAAACAGGCATATGTGTCTCACCGAAGATATAGACGACGCTCACGGTCCCACCAGCCCCGAGCAGCCCAGCAAGCCAGAGTGCGACTTTTTTGGCGTAGCTGGGACCCTCTGTGCCCCGCTGATGCTGTGGCCCCTGAGCCTGGGCCTTGGTGCCTGTGCGGCTCCCAATTTCCGTGGCCTGCAATTGACAGGAGGTAGGTTAGCCCAAAGGGAAGTGCGAAAAGGCAGGATTATTCTGGTACCCTGGTAGAAGAATCAAGGTCAGGAGCCAGGAAGCAGACACCCACATAGCCTCAGGGTGTTCAGTCTCTGGAGGGGCAACCAGGAGATTGGGTCTCTTAGAATAGGCAAGAACTAGACTGTCTGGGGCCAGAATCCCAGGGGTTCAAGAGTTGATAGGCCGGGTGCCCAGGATCCTGTGGGGCAGGGAAATGAAATCAGGGAGCCTGGCTGGACACTGGGATGCCGGGAGCAAGGCAATGGAGGGCACAAAAGGGGACTGGACGGGGAGTTAAGGCATCCGGATGCCCGGGGCTCACAGTAGTGGGGTATAGAGGGGAAGGGATGGGAGCGGGGACAGACGGGCAATCGCTTGCCTGGGGAAGTAAGGGCACGAAGTGAGGTCAGAATGGCTGGATCTCTGTCAATGTGGAGGCAGGCTGATATCAAAAGCCCAGACATCTACCTCATCATCACCTCGGGGAAAGTACCCCCAACGCCAGGCTGGGACCCCAGCATCCCGAGCTCTCCTCAAGTATTACCTGAGAGGTCACTGGGACGGGAAACAGGTGACCTCCCTTCCCCCGGCACCCACGTGGGGTCCACAGGAAGTGGCGTTCAGAGGACGCACTTCAGCCCGCAGCATCTAGCTGGGGGGCGCAAGCGTTGCCCACCCCGGGAGGCAGGGAAGCGCCCCGAAACGCGGGCGGCGTTCCATTCAGCAACCTGAGGTGCTGCGTCCCAGAACCCGCACGCGGCGGCGGTCCGCCCGGAACTCCAGAAAGGGACTCCCGCACTCGGGGGACCACCCCCATCCGGCTCACCTGGTCCGGGGTCCGGGGGGGCGGCGTCGCCAGCCTCGCGCACAGCCCCCGCGCGCCGAGCCGGAGCTCGCTCCGCAAGCGGAGGAACAGCGCCGCGAAGGCCGCCATCTTGCGCTGACGCCACGCGGCCCCGCCCACTCGCTCCCTCCCCTCGGGGCCCGGGCCCGGGCCCTGACCAATGGGGGCGCAGGGGTGGGGCGGGCGGACGGGAGCCGGAGAGAGACAAAGGGCTGCGGGCGGAGAGCGGCAGGCGTGCTGACCTCGGCCGACCTGGCTACACAGCCCGCCGGCCTCACACCTCTCTCGGGCCCCGGGGCGCTCCCCGGCCCCTGCAGCCCCACGGGGCGGCACACCCAGTGCCCGGCGGTGCGGCTGAGGCCGCCGCGTGGGAACCCTGTGGCTGCGGATGGTGTCCTGAGAGAGGAAACCCGCGAGCTAGCTCGTCTCGCCCAGAGGAGGTCCGTCCAGCAAGCGGACTGGAAGCCAGCCTTCCCAAGCTCTTCCCCCACGTGGAGCCTGGAGGCCGAATCAGCCTTCTCTCCCGTCCTCAGAGCCCTTCCTTGCTCCTCCTCCCCTGAGCGTCCGAGGAAGGGTCTGGAAAGCAAGCCATTTCAGCGAGGTCCCAGCCAGAGGAGTCGCGGCTGGCTCTCCGAGGTCAGGCGTATCGAGACGAAGTCGATAAATAAGGGGCTACAGGTAGCCACGAAGAATCTCCCTCCTTACTTTGAGGAAAGGAGGTCAGATACTGCTTATGTAGACTTTCAAAACATGGGAAACGACCATGAAACATTTAGGGGTAGTTAACTAAGGTCAAGCTTCTTCTGGTCACCTCTGTAGGGGAATGGACTGGGGCTGCTGCTTAAAGTGGGTCCCACCTGCTACGTACGGTTTCCCGAGCTGGGTGGTGGGGACATGGGTGTTCCGGGTGTCATATCTTTTTTGAACATCGGAAATATATTTTATATTGCATTTATTAAAAAAAAAGACATTTGATTGTCAAATAAGGAAGGTGAAGGAAGGTCAAGGTACTAATAAGCTCCATTCTCTACCTTGCTCATCTCCACCCTCAAGCCATCAGACAAGCCACAGCAATTCTGGTGTCACTGCTATGTGGGCTCCAGGGAGAGGACCATCAACTGCGGTACCCTGCACTGTAGGGGGAATTTAGGTTTTCCTGGGGGGCGGTTAAGGATCTTCACATAAGCGAGAATGGGCTGTAACTTCAATCACAGGCAGGCTCTGGTCTAATAATCTCCAATGTCTCCTCATACATTCATCTTGGAGTCCTCTGGCGTGGGCAGTATCATTTTCTAGATGGGGTAACTGAGGCTTAGGTACCATTCAGTTATTTGCCCAGGAAGTAAGTGGGGTCTGCAAATGACCCCACTTACAAAACACAGACACACACCCTTGACCAAACAGCTTTTTATTGAAAGACCATAACACAAAAGCAAGCTGGGGAAGAGAGGGTACAGAAGGTGGGGACCCTCCCCCAGACTCTATTCTGATTCCTATGAACATCAGGGAGGGAGATAGGAACCCAGAAAGGAAATCCTGAACAACCAGATTAGCCCTAGTCCAGGCCCCAGACCCTGTGTCAGAGCCAAGGGCCAGGGAAGGAAGGAGGGACACTCTCCATCTGCCAGATATCTGCCAAAGTCCACCCGCCCTGCATTTCTCAGGCCTCCAGGAGCTTCCCCAGGAAGCGGAGGTTGAGGATCTTGAGCTGCTCATCAAGGTCCATGCGGACGATGCCGTCCTCACCATCGATGCTCAACAGGACCCCTGTGGCTTCCCGATCCTCACCCAGAATCACCTTCACCTGGGGAGGGGGGGCAGGCACGGGGTCAGGGTCCGTGTCAGCAGCCCAGGGCCCCCACGTCCCCTGGCCCCCCCTTACCTTGTTGTTCTTGGTGGGGGTGATGGGCTCCAGGTGCTCGCTGGAGATGCTGACCACCTTCTCACTGTCCTTTAGGTACACAGAGCACATGCCTCCCTGTGGGTAGGGACAGCCTGGTCAGTCGGGCCTGCTTCCAGTGCGGCACTGCTGCCCATACTCAGGGGCCATGGGCTCAGGGCTCATTCTTTTTTTATTTATTTATTTATTTATTTATTTATTTGAGAGAGAATGAGAGACAGAGGGCATGAGAGGGAAGAGGGTCAGAGGGAGAAGCAGACTCCCCGCTGAGCAGGGAGCCCGATGCGGGACTCGATCCCGGGACTCCAGGATCATGACCTGAGCCGAAGGCAGTCGCTTAACCGACTGAGCCACCCAGGCGCCCCCTCAGGGCTCATTCTTACAAGTCGCTTTCCCAAGGTGATACAGGCAAGAAAAGCCAAAAGCTGGGCCTGATTCCTGGGCGTGTGGTGTGTGGGGGCAGGGTGACCAGACAGCATGGGAAGCACCAGAATGAAGCTAACTTAGGCCAAAAGAGACTGCTTCTCAGGCACGTGACTCTTCATGTCCCAAGTGGATCTCATCTTTCCCCTCTTGGGCCCACCCGTATCTCAGGGATGTCCTCACAGTCCCTAGTCCTTGGACGGAGCTCTGACGTCATGTTAGCTCTTTCACCGACAACCTCCAGCTCTGAGGTGTGATCATTTGGCCTCCTAAAGGTCTCTGCCACCTCCCCCCCTCCTCTCTTCCTCACAGCCTTACAGGCTAGCCTGACCTCCCCCAGGGCTCCCAGCCCCCAGTCTCACCCCCCTAATCCATCCCTGCTAGAGCAACATGGTGAGTTAATTCCAAACCACAGACCTGATCCCACCACTGCTCTGCCTGCTTAGATTCCTCAGGACACAGTCCAAGGTCCCCAGCCTGCCACGTGACTTGACCCAGTCACTTCTCTGGCCTTCACTCACCTCCCCCCCCTAGGCTTTTTATGTTCCAGCCACAGTGAACATACTTCAACTCCCCAGATGTACCAGGCTTTCCCTCACCTCCAGGCCTTTGCAAGTCCCCTCTTTCTGTAACACACTTAACCCCCTCCCCAGCCACTTCTCTTGGCTTACTCCTATTCGTTCTTCAGGTCTCGATGCAGACGCCTCCTTCTCCAGTAAGCACCCCCCGAGCCCCTCCAAAGTTGAGTAAGGGTGCCTCCTCTAGGTTCCCATAGCTCCCCTTGCCCTTGGGGCTTCCTGTCTCCCAGCTCTGTGGTCACTCAGGCTCTCCCTCTTGGGGACATGTCTGCCTCCCCAACTAGAATGTGAGCTATGTGAGGGCAAGGCCTGGAGCTGTTTTAGACTCTGGTGTTTAATTAATTAATTCAAATAATATTTACTGGAAGGCCAACAGGCTATTGGTCCCTCATCTAGGAACTAGGACTACTTAGGAATGAAATACAGGCTCAGTAACCAAAGAATCACCCCCTGAGTAAACTTTAAGCTTTCAGGCAGCAGGTAGGTAACATGAAAAAAATTACACAGACTTATAAGAGGACAGATCTGAGATAGCTCAAAGGCTTCCCTGAAGGATGAGTAGTAGTTTACTAGAAAAAGGGTGGAAGGAAGAGAGTTCTAGACGGAGGGAAGTGATGAGCAAAGGCCCTGAGGCTGCAGGGAACTCGGGGACGGTGAGGAATGGAAAGGCCAGTAATGCTGGAGCAGGGGGAATGCTAAGGGTAGGGGTGCCCAGCGCTAAGCTAAAGCCAGGCACAGAGGAACGCTCAGTCCGTGCTACGGAACTGGTCTCAGAGGACTATGTTAAAGTGTAATCTAGCTCCTGGGTGCCAGTCACTGCTCCAGGCCGAGGAGAAACCCCTGCCCTGCAGGCCAGCCCTTCCAACCCTGCTTTCCCAGAGTACTGGAAATGTGTTTAGGTGGTTAAAAGCAAAAACCCAGTAACCACAGAGCTTGGGGACCCTGAAGGAGAGGACACCTGCCCACCCACCGGCCTGGGCCCCACTTACTGTGACGCTGCGGATGACTCCTGTCTGCCCCACCACCTGCGTATCCAGGTAGGTGTCCCGCACCTTCACCTGGATATCAGTGGTTACCCAGTCGCTGGAGTTCTGCTCAATGCCTGAGCCTGGCGTGTGCGGGTTGTAGCCACCAGGGGAGGGGGCTCCGGGTGTCATCGGACTGTAGCCAACAGGGCTCGGGCTGGGGCTGGCCTGTGGGTGAAAGGGGGACAGTGTTGTTGCAAACAGCTCCTCTACCTTGGCTGTCCACATAGGCCGAAGGCCCATCCTAGCCCACCCCCCCTTTTTCTTAAAAATTTATTTATTTTAGAGAGAGGAAAGAGCGAGAGTGAGCATGCGAGCACAGGGAGGGGCAGAGGGAGAGAGAAACTTCAGCAGATTTCTTGCTGAGCTTGGAACCCGACTCGGGACTCGATCTCAAGACCGAGATCATGACCCAAGCCAAAACCAAGAGTCAGACGCTTAACCGACTGCGCCACCCTGGCGCCCCCTAGTCCACCACCCTTAAGGGCATGCAAGCTCACCCATACCTGATAGGCCATGGGAGAGGGTGTGGGGTGGTAGCTGGCTGGAGAGTGGGTATTCTGGTAGCCTGCTGGGCTTGGCGCCACCTGGTGGTAACTCTGGGGGCTGGGGCTGGGCTGGTAGGAGCCTTGCGGGGAGGGGGCGGCATAGGGGGAGAACTGGTCTGTGTTGTACCTGGAGAGTCAAAGACAAAAAGGACATTTGTTGGGGACAGTGTTGGAGAGAAGAAGGTAACAGCAGCACAGAGGGTCTGGGCAACGTTTGATTAGGGTCAGCCCCAGTGGACTCACATGGCTGGCGTCCCTGGCGTCTGTGGGTTATACTGAGGGTTGACCTGTGGGGATGAGGGGTCAGGATAGCCAGGTGTTTGGGGGTTGGGGGTGCCCCCATAGGCCTGTGGGGACGGGGTGGGCTCGTCATCGAAGGCATACTCGTATTCTTCCTCGGCCCTGTTGGAGAGAGAAGTCTGTTGAGAATGACTGGTAATCACAACGATGTAGGAAATGCTTCCAGAATAACATTGAACACCTCACAACAGCCCCATCCAGAGGCCTCCATTTCATTGGGAGGCAGAGACAAGGCTGCCTGCCCAAGGGCACACAACTGATCACGTGACCTAGAGCACACAAATCTGTCTCTGAGCCCAGGTCTTAACGGCAGCAGGCTAGTCTGGTGGGGACTGGAGATCTGACCACCAGCCCCAGCCCCACGTACCCCTTCGCATGTGAGCAGCCTGGCGCTGGGAGCAGAGAATTCAGGGAGGGCCGTACAGACCCCTCTATCCCGCAGACACCCAGCATAACCACTCACACATACGGGATCAGGGAACCTTGTTCCCCACCCCTGATCCTCACCGGGACGGCGTGTTGGGATTGTTGGGGTCCCAGGCCCCACTCTGAGCAGGAGTGCGGCTGCCGTCATGCAGGGGT